AAAATATTCAGTATCCCTGTCATGTTCTTGGGTTTTATTGTAAATCTCAAGTCAACTTTTGTTTTAATACTCTGTAATATACTCATTCTATTAACTTGTTTTCAAACTCATTCTTTTTGAACTGTAAGGTTAATTCTCTCATCTTCAATACTTACAACTCCAATACATATATTCACCCTCTTAGGTAAGGACAAGTGACCTTATAATACAAATTGTTATAAAAGTAGATATAAAAAATCAAATTTAGCACTAATGTTAAAGCATTAATACCTTGCAAAAAATAAAATAGGGCCCAACATGAGAATTTTGCACATGGCCAATCTCATTTTTTTATATTTCCAGGTTGGCCTTGAACCAAATTATATATATTGTTGACTATTTAATTTTTTAAATTAAAGTATGTTATTGGATAATCCTATTAGAATACTCTGTATAAAATATGTTGTAATTAAAGTTTGTTGTTGAAAGAGGAGTATGCTTATGAGATTAAAGTTTGTTGTTGAAATATGACTATATTGTTAAAACTAAAGTTCGATGTTGAAATTATAGTGTGCTCTTGAAGTTAAAGCTTTTTTTTAAAATTAAAGTTCTTTCTTAAAATTAAAGTTTTTTTTTTGGGAACATAAAGTATGTTAATATAATTAAAGTTGTTGAAATTAGAGCATATTGTTAAACTTAGATTATATATTTGAATTTTATTATCTCCTTAGAATCCTTAGAATAAGTGGTTTTCAAGAGAATTGTGATGGGATATACGAACGAGTCAATGTTTTTAGATTTAGAAATACTTTTTGAATTGATGGTGGACAAATAGGATGAAAAATGTGTTGTCCTTGTAAAATTTGCAAAAACAAATTAAATACATGTGTCAACGACATCAAGCTTCATAATCTCAAACAAGATCTGCCACTATATATATATATATATACTTATGGATAAATATTTATTCAATAATATCATAATGTGTCACGATATTTCTAACCATGTTTGCTATATTGGCTATTGAATTTGGATATGGATCTTGACGTATAGTAAAAGCCAAAATTGTACCTGCATCTGTTGCATATTGATCGAATATCAGATATATTTGTATCTGTTTCCAATTTTTAAAGTCATTATGAACAATACTTTAATTTCCAATTAATTTAAAGTTAAGATTTTATTCATTAAATTGTAATTTGTTACAGAGTACTTTCTCCATCTCAATTTAAGTTGCCTATTTTACTATTTACATGGTTAAACTTTAATAATTTTCATTACTCAAATGATAAAATAACATAGTCATATCACCTCTTTTTTTGAAGACATTTTGATATAGTTTTAAAGGTATAAAATTTATATTTTAATTTTACCTCAATTTTTATATAAATTTATTTAAAAATAACTTCATTCAAACAATATAAACAACAACAAGCAACTTAAAATGGGATAGGAGTAATATGTTTTTTAAATTTGTTACTCTATACCATTCTAAGATAGCTCCATAGAGTATAGAGTAAGAAGATATACATAGTAAACATAAACAAATATTTTTATGTGTATACACATATATTTTACAAATAAAGATGTCTTATATTTTGAGATGCTGATAGAAAAATAAAATATAAAAATAAAAATGTGGGAAAAATGATATATAACACATCCAATGCACTGATAAACAATTACTTAAATGGATGTCTATGCGGAGCAGATTTTAAAAGGATAAGATGTATGATTACCAAATCCATATCCGTTTACCAATCAAATGTTCTTAATCGGATACGGATAATAATCACTTTTAACGGATGCAGATATTTTTTGTGTAAACCGATATAGCACAAAAAGAGAAAAATGGATTGACTTGGTGTTTTAAGTATATTCACCCAGTTTGATTTTTTTGAATTAAACTATATGAACTTTAATAATTAATTTCTCTCAATTTGTATTACATGTTTATACAATAAAATAAAATTTTAAAAATTTTCAACAAGTTAGATCGATATAAATCATATAACTAATAAAATCGTTTTTATACCAATTTACGTTACGATTTTTATTTAATTAAGATTCAAAACATATCCAATTCTGAGACGAAAAAGTCAAATTAGACGGAATATACTGAGACAAAAGTAGTAGCTTTTAGCAAGCCAAAATGGAATGCAAATTATACGGTTCAGCCAGCTGTGCCGTTTTGGTACAACCGGCAATTAGATCGAAGGAAGGAGAAGCAAGCCGATGACGAAGAAGAGGCCAATGCGGCAAAACTGAAGGAACGGTGGAGCTATGGAGCACCGACGATGGCTAGAATCGAAGAACGATGGAGCAGTGGGATGAAGAAATTTGACCTGAAATGCCGTCGGCCGCCATTGTCCGGTGAAGATTAGTCTGATCGAAGAAGAGCTCCGCCCCCGGACCAGTACTCCCTCCTTTGTCTCTCTTTTGAATGGATGAGAAAACCCTAGCGCGCTGCTCTGGTCGGGTGGGTCGGAGAAGAAAGAAAGCTGGTTTGTTAAGTCTTCACCTGCCGGTATGAACTCTATTTTGCTTGAGAATGAGTACTACTTTGTTTCAGAATGAACACTACGTTATTAGTAAATGAATACTATAATTGTATTGAACAAATGTGTGAAAACGAACACTATGTTATTTCAGAATGAGTACTACGTTACTTCAAAATGAACACTTATGTTTTGTGCGAAAATGCGTACTATTTCAAAATGATCGGGTACTATCTGACTGTACCTTACTTTTGGTACAACCAGTTGTACGATATACGTACTCTAAATGGAAAGCTTAGACAAGGCAAGGTGTTATTATTAAATACCAGAAGCTCCTCACGCTGCTGACCCCTCTCATCTACCGTTCATGCATTCTCCATGCAATTAACATCTTCTTGTCATATATATGTAGAGAGTGTCAAGGTAGAGGCTTTATATAAATCTCAGGACATTTCTATATCTAGTCCCAATGCCTTTGGTTCCATAGACTGTCAAATTGGATTCTCAATATAAATTATATATATATATCGACCACCATATATTGTCATAATTAACTACCAGGCCATTTCACTCTCTTGATGGCTAGAGGACATTATACCATTGAGCATTGTTGGGCTCTCATCCTCACTTTCCTGTTGCTCATTCCATGTTTTTCGCATCACGTGATCGTCGCGACCGAAGCCCGTCGGTTAGGGAAATCTATGGAAAAGCATAACTATGAGCTTAGCAAGAAGAAGAAGACGATCACGGCTATGACAGCGGAGGCGGATGTTGGGCTTGCGACCGGTGGCTATAGAAACGGTTGGAAAGGTGGTATGGGTTCAGGTGGTGGGGGTTATGATCAAGGGTATGGATATGGGAACAACGGAGGGTGCGGTGGCGGTGACTGTGGAGGAGGCGGCGGAGGTGGCGGCGGCGGTGGTTATTGTGATGGATGGGCAGGAGGTTGTCACGGCGGAGGTGGAGGGGGAGGAGGTGGAGGAG